TTAATGTCATTTTTATAGATCGCGTTTACTTTAATATGAAATTTATATAAATAATAAACACGTATACATACAAACATATATGGTAAACATTTCGTGGTAAAAAAAAAATGGAATTTAATGTGAATAAAATATTAAATAAAAAAAAAAATAAAAAATTTTTTTTTTATGAGCTGATCTGTTGATCCCATGATTATCGTTTATTTATTACAATGAAGAATAATGTTGTTTTCGTCACAAATAACAAGGTTTATAAATTAATTGTAAATCTATAAATCTTCTCTTTTATAGAATTTTCAAATCTCTAAAATTTATACTTTAATTTTTCGCAAAAATATTGTGTTTATATTTAGGGTCTTTGATTATTATTCAACTGCATGGTATTAAGATAAAATATCACATATATATATATAAAGATATAAATATTATATCTCATGTTTTATATAAATATGTGTATATGTAAATTCAACATGGTATGCTTATACCATATTAAACCAAATGTTTTTGTATATTAAGCTATTATAGTTTACTTGATTGTTTATTGTACACATACGTATAATAAAAGACCTAAATACAAATTTATTTTAGACTAATTTATTATTCTTATTTATATGATTTTATATATATACATCTAAGAATATCCTCGGCGTTATTATCATCATGGATTTGCTGTTTACCTAGATATAATAACTAGGGTCGGTTAAGAGTAGTGTTAACAGAATAAAAAGGATGAGAAAGTTCCGCGGTTCAAGCGTGGCTTACTAGAGAGTGTTGTATATACGAACCAGTACGAAGTAGCACGAAGTCTAACGTATATGAGCTTTGCTCAAAGGAATGCAAATCCTACTATTTTTATTTTCCACAGTATTCTAACTATAAAGTTATGTATATACAGAGTGTATTCCAACCGGATTTGTCTATACCTGACAGAATTTGCACGATGGAACTATTTGAATCAACAGATTTAAAGTATCTCATGTTGCAAGAGGATAACAGTGCATGCTATTATTTCTGTTACAATCACTCGAATTCCAATTTTGAATAAAATCAATAAATGATAATCCCCAATGCTTGCCTAAATTTATGCTGAATTCACCATATTCTGCTAACTTGGCCATTGTCAACAAAATATTCCCTGAAATAGGAATCAAACGAAGTTGCTTAAAGATAACGAAATGTGACTTTTTCGTAGGTATTTTTGTTTCCTTCACTTGCAATAACAAATTTGCTGACGGATAACGATGCCCAATAAACAATCATCATCATGATAGATTCTCAGCTAAATTTACACTACCTCCACTTTTTTTCAGCAAAAAAGAAATTTGTTATTTGCATCGAACATTCTGTGTCGAATTGGAGCTTTGGAAAACGATACCAAAAATGTAGCATTAATAATCGCCAACTTCTTCGTGAAATTATCTTTAAATTATAGCAACTGATTTTAATTCTTTTGTTTGTTAAATTAAATATCAAACGAACATAAAATTACCGATTACATAATATAGATATGTACTTATTAATTAATTAAATTTCAACATAAATACGTATGTATGTATGTATATATCAATTGATGTTCATATAGATCCATTTTCTATTTTAATTTTAATATCTTACAAATTATACAAAAATTTACAAATATTTACTGAATAATTTCTATATAGGTATATAGATAAATGCTATGATGCTATTTACTGCAACACAATTTGAGTAAATAACGTTATAATATATATATATATATATATATATATATATATATATATATATATATATTTATAAATATATATATAATATATATATATATATTTATATATATATATAATAAATATATATATAATATATATATATATATATTTATAAATATATATATAAGCATATATATATTTACATATATATAATTATACATATTACAATTAATTAGTATATTTATATATAAATATGCTTTAGTAATATAAAGCATATATATATTAATATACTTTAAAGTACGTGTTTATTTAATATTATATTTATAATACACTATAAAAATTATAAATAAATATAGATACTTAATTATATAAATTCAAAAATTACTTATAATATTAAAAAACTTTTCAACAAGATCATATATATATATATATATATATATATATATATATATATATATATTATATTGATATATACATATTATATATACATATATAATATATATATATCAATATGAAATTGTTATATATTATTGTTATTTCAATTCTTATTTATTTATAAAAATATACATAAAATAAAACATAAGTTTTATAATATACTTTGTATAATTTATATACATTTACATATTATATATATAAGTATTATATATATAATATTATATATATAAGTATCTCTTATATCATTACACCATATATTATTTATATAATATATTATGCACACATATATATATCTAAAATATAAAGGTATTAATTTATATTATTATCTACTTAAAATCTAAAATAAGAAATCCTTTTCTCTTTTATTAATTTTTTTTTGTTTTCTTCTTTTTTACTTCTTAACTTATTATTTTTATTATTAAATGTACACATATTATAGGTACTGTACATATAAAAATGTTTATAATATATATATATATATATTTATATATATATATATATATATATATATATATATAAATTTGTCACATAAAAGCTAGAAAAAAAGCTGGAAAAAAACAGCTATATAATTTAGAATTAAATAAAACAAAAAAAAACCAAATAGATGTAAATAATTCCAATACATACACACACTTACATATATAGTACACAACTACAAATACAAATGTAGAAGAAACAACAGAAAATAAAATTCAAGTAAACACACTATATTTAAATACGCGTTATTCCTTATACAAAAATTATATACGAACTGTGAATAAATTAAAACAAAAAGAAAAACAGAAAATAGAAATAGCATAAATTCGGAAGATAACAGGCGTGCAAACGCCTTCTTTTCTTATTTATTCTTTTTCCCAAGTTTTTTCTATTTTAAATATTTTAAAACACAACCATACACACACATTAACGCACATATCCATCTGTTATGTATACAATCACATTAGAAAAAGAGGAAGGAAGCAATAAAACATGAGTAAAATTTAAAAAAAAGAACAGATAAACAAAAAGTCCTTACGTTTCAAATTTCATCTGTTCCTTTTACTTTAAATGTATGTATATGCACAAATATAGGAACAAAGAAAATAAACTGTCAAAATATAAATGAAATTGAAATATAGGTGGAGCTAAAAACAAAAATTTTCTTATACAAAAAACAAAAAATCCTCCATATTGAAAATAATTATTCTTATATTACAAAATTTATATTATTCTTCTTATTCTTTTCATATTATTATTATAATTTTAACACTACCACAATTAAAGATTGTTATACTACTTAACACATATGTATATGCAATATTAGCATATTAAATTATTTATTTGGTCAATAATAACTCTATAATAATAATTGTCATTTTTATTATTTAATTTTAAATACCATTTGTATATACCGTTATATTATTATTATCATTAAATGTCATCTCAAATTTATATTAAATTTTATTAAAAAATATATTTGTGTTTACACTATGTGTATAACAGAATATAAATAATGACAATATAAAAATATGTATGTATATGTAATTGTGTATGAGAAAATTAAATTTAAATTAATTCCAATATAATTTTCTTCTTCTTCTCTGTTTTTGTATTTTTTAACATTCATTCGAAATCTTAAGAGGATAAGATGTTGACAATTTCATTTATCATGCATATAACAGAAAAGAATAGATATATATATATATATGTATATGTAAATTGTATGAAAGAAATAAAAACTTAAAGTGTATATAGGTTTGTAAACATATAACACTTAAAATATAATCTAAAGAATATAAGATAATAATTACGGCATACTTGCCTGTGTATATGTATGTGTATATATGTAGATAGTAAAGGCGTGGCAATGTCAAATAATATAATAATTTTAGCTGTTATACTCGTACTTGTGTATATTGTTTTTTTTTTTATATTATTATACAGCAGCATCGAAGTGGTGTAGTATAGTATAGCACTCAGTATATCATTGATAATGCAAAGATAATAATTTTAAAAAAGTTTTAGTTATTAAAAATTTTTAGATGAAGTAAGGTTGTTTTTTTTCGGAGAGGCGTTAAAATTCAAAAAAAAAAAATAAAACAGAATTTTTTTTGAGTAATTTTTGATTGTTATTTTTAAATAAATAATAAATCGGTTTATTAAAATATAATAAAGAAAACGGGAAAATTTACAATAAACGTGTGTAAATTTAATAATATTTGTGTAAATTATTTAAGGGATATAAAAAGCAAAATAAGAGCAAAGAAATAGAGAAGTGATTTATATAAAGATTATTAAGAAATGAGAGTAATAGCTAAATTAAAATTTACTCAACATAGCAATTTTGTGTTATATAATTAGTGTAGACGAGTTATAAAAAATTATTAAAAAAAAATATATGGAAAATAAATTTTATTTATGAAATTATGCAGAATTAATCTCTTTGCAAAATTTGTGTTGTAAAAAAATAATTTTTTTAAAATTAATTTAGCTTTAACATTAAATACTAAAAATTTAACTCGTATATATATATGTATATATATTCATACAACTATATAATTGAAAAATAATTAATTATTTTTTAATTTTATTAATGAAATTATGGTTGAAACTAAATCATTTAATTCAAAGCAATATAAAATTATAACACCTTTATCTATTAATAATAATAATAACAGCGAATTTTCAAATATTAATAATTATTATACAAATCAACGAAATCATTTAAATTTATCAAATAATATTAATAATAATATTATTAACCTTAATATAAATAATAATAATAATAATAATATATCATCAATTAATATTAATCCTAAATTATTATTAAATAATAATAATATAAATAATAAATTTATTACACCAATTTTAAATAATAATAATAATATAATTAATAATAAAATAACAACAGCAATGTTATTAAATACACAAAATTGTGAATATTTAAATCAAAGATTACAAAATGTTTTTCAAAATCATTCATCACAACAACAACAACAGCAATCATCATCATCAACATCATCATTGTCATCCCAACAACAGCAACAAAATCACCATAATAATAATAATAATAATAATTCACCATTATTATTACATCATAATCAAATTAATCAAAATCATAATTATAATAACAGTAATAATAATAATAATATTAATAATTATAATAATAATAATGATAATCAAATTGATAAAGATTCAAATAATTCATCATCAGATGATATTAAAATTGTATGTGATGAAACAAAAAGTGGTATATCATCAATTGTTTCATCAAATTCATTATTTACAATTGATAGTATATTAGCAAGTTCAAATCGTTGTGTTGATATTAATAATTATATAAAAAGGAATAATAGTGAAAGTCCGCCATCATTATCACCAAATAGCAATAATTCATTACCTAATAGTCCAATGCGTAATACACAACAAAGAAATAGTTTACAACAGCAACAACAACAACAACAACATTCATCAGCGACAGTATCAACAGTAACAAGTGCAGCAGCTGCAGCAGCAATGTTACATCATCCTGGTTTACATTTTGGACATTTAGCTGCAGCTGCTGCATCAAGTTTTGGTGCATCAACATCAGATTTTTTAGGTTTGTTTTTGTATATGTATGTACATATATTTATAAGAATTTTATAGCCAGTGTTCGTATTTTATGCAACCTTTTTCTAAAAGCATCTTATTAAGAATCTCAAATATAATTAATTGTAATTTGATTAAATTTCGGTAATTTAAGAGTTTATAGTCAATTGGGCGAGAGTTTCTTCCGTAAACACTTTCAAGTTTGTATGCTTACACAAAAATTCTGTGTAGTTATTGCATTAAAAATGCTTTTAACTCTGTAAAACACTTTTATTTGCTCTCATATGTAACACGTTATATATAGTTCTCATATACTTACCTACGTTAATTCTGGTATATTCCGGAGTAGCTTTTACTTTTATATATAGAACAATGTTCCATGCACAAAGTATGTACTTTCAAGTTAACCGGGAATAATTTGAAATTTTATAATTAAAATTAAATAAGAATTGTAATAACGTACAAGTGTATTTTCTACGAATAATTTTAAGAATATAAGCACTTTTCTAATTAAATGCAAAATATTGAAGGACTAAGTATGTATAAATTACACTAAAAGTAATAATAATCTCAAATTCTCCCGCAAGTATTTTCCGCCTGAGCACTTGATTATATCGTGTTCATAATTTTTCACTTTATAATATGTGGGAACTATATACTATACACGAACATAAGGTCATATAATCATATCCGCAGAACAATATTTTTTTAGAGGGAGAACTGTTATAGCCTACAGCGTTTTTATAATTTTTTTTTAATAAAAGAAAATATAAAAAGTGTATTAATAATTAAAATATTAATTTGTCTATGGTTTTGTAATGCGTGCGGAAATCTACATTTAAAATGTTTCGAAACATGGATAATAGTTGTGAAACATGTGATAATACTTGAAAAAATTCTAATCGAAATTATGGAAAACAAATTTCAAAATACAAACTTAATCTTAATCTTTTAACCCTTTATTATTCAATAATTATTTTCTTAACAAACTTCTTAACATTGTCATAGACTTACTATGTATTACAGAAATTTTCTTGCTATGCAAATATTCTAATCGAAATTAATTTGTTTAACTAAAAATAAATTGAAAATTAAATATTTAAAATTGCAAGTACTTTTAAGCTTCAAATAAAATATAAGTTTTTAAACAGAATGTAAAAATGATGAGGTCAAAAAGTTCATGAGGTCATATATAGGTTTCCGCAAAGCTTACCCATTGAAATTATAAATTAAATGATTAAACAAACACAAATACACTTTTGAACCATGTTCTGTGACACCATCAAATCGAAACTTTTATCTTTAAACTCAAAATAATTATTTATTTTAGTAATTTTTTTTAGCTGATAAATAAATTTTTGCTATTCATTAATAATTCTTGTGACCTGTACAAACCTTCAATCTTATTTATTGAAAGTATTAAAATTAATTTTTGCAACAGCGTGTATATAACAATTGAAACTGTATAAGAGAATTCCTCAATTTTCTAAAAGTTCTTAGAATTGTTTGACAATTCTTATTGTACTCGAAATAACCTGCGTGTAAGTGGAAGAAAAATGGTGGCACCTCGCATAACTACTCTTATTCAATTTCTAATTGTATAGTTTTGCTATTATTAGGAATGAACCCTAAAAACTTAGATATTATATAAAACGTATAGTGTTGCTTCATGAGAGAAAAATTTATTTTATATATAGATAGATTTCTTATTGTTTACAATAATCGTACACACTTACTTTTGGTTTCATGGAAAATAAAAATATTTTTCAAATTAACAACCATTCACATTAATGCAATTTAATCGTGAATAGAAAATTATTCCCGAAACTATTTCCCATAGCACGTTTAATTTTTGGTATATATAGTAATTTAATATTTTTTGAAGCACTAATAAAATTTAAGTTAAAAACATTCTAAATAAGTTTATTTCATTTAAATTAAATTTATTGGAAAGCATTTGTATAAAACATTCATGAGATGGAAAGAATAATTAAAACGCTTTCCAATTTATTTCTGATGAATTTTTTAATTATATTGTAACTATTATCTAAATTAAGTAAAATAATATTATGTTTTATTGTTTGATAAATTTCAGTATAACATTTAACTCGAAAAAATAAAATATATGAATTTACATATATATATCGAATTAATATTCCCAATGAATGGTATATAAGTGGTATATTGAACCACAACATAAAAAAATATGTTAAAGAGATCAAGTATAAGTCTGTCTGTCATTCTGACTGTTTGTCTATTATTATACATGTTATTTGACAAATTAAAGAAAGTTGGAAGTGTGAGTTTAGGAGAGATAAAATCAATTGACTGAAATAGAAGTATAAAATCGGCACAATTGACTTTTTCGCTCAAGTTCGAAAAAGTCGCTCAATTTACGAGATCATGAAGTTCCACGCATTGACAAAAAAAAGAAAGATATCGTCGAAAAATAGTTCGACAAATATTCCTTTGTAATTAAAACCAGGTGTTGTGAGGTCTTAGATTCCGAGAATCGTAAAATGCTTTTGGTTTTGTTTGGTTTTTGCTTTATTTATGACATGCATGAAATTTGTTTAAGTTACAAAACTTGTAAATTTTTTTTTATACTCCAGGAGGGCAACTAAACTTAAATAGTTCTTGCCATTTTATGAATTATGAATTTGCGACTAAAATACTCATTAAAAAGAGCCTAATATTCATAGTATTACTTCAATTATACTTTTGAACTTCTATACAAAAGTTTTTAAAATTTGGCATAAAATAGCATTGTATTTTGTGAATCCATAGCGTATTTTACTCAATCAAATATATCTCAAACAATATTTTTAATATCATTTTTATTTTCAAATATAATTTTATTTTTTTTTATCAGCTGCCAAGATTTTGTATGAATAATTGCCTCATACAAAATTTGACAACCGTATATACATTTGTAATAAAACATTTTGAATAAAATCCAGCACATGCATACATACAAATATAAAAAATTTTAATATTCCTGATTAAAATCCGGATATATTTTTTATAAAGATTTTATTTAAAAAAAAAAAGAAAAAGGAAATTTTATTTACAAAATTATTATTTTTTTGAAGAAAATAAAATTTTTCACCTTAAATTAATATTTCATTTTAAGATTAAGAGCATTACTTATCGTCAACATTTTAGAAATCATAATTTTTTTTTTATAAAATACAAATAAAATATTACTCTCTCCCATTCTCCCGATCTAAGTCTCTCTCTCTCTCTCTCTCTCTGTATAAGGCTTATTTTTAAGATTTTTTATGTAAATAAAAAAAAAATTTATTTTATTACGCTTATTTGCTCATTAAACCTGAGTATATAAAATAAGGATTTTTTCTCCATTTTTTTTTTGTGTAAATCTAAATCTAGAAATCCTTTAATGTTTTTATACTGTAATATAAAAAATTTTTCCAGCCGTTTTAAGGCGATTATAAACCGCAACTTACATATTTTTTTTTTGCCTCTTTTTTTTCGTTTTTTTAATAATTTTTATTAAAAAATTTTATTGAAAATTTATAAATCTGAGAAAAAATAATTCTGTACGTAGATGTATATATATATAATAAGTAAATATGACCCTTAGGATAAACAGCTTTCATTGAACCGTTCATAATTTCTAAAATGCAAATTTTCTTTAGTTAAAATTTTCATGTTTTTCTTCTTTTTTTTTTATGTGTAGGTATTTTTAAGATTTACGTTTATTTTTTCGTTTCAAAAAATATTTTTTTATTTAAATCCATCATCGAGTTATTGATTTTCTGCCTCCTGTAATTATGGTATATAAAATAAGTCATGCATTTATTGCTATATTTTAATATAATAAAATCAAAAATAAAAAAAAAATAAAAAAATTCAAAAAAACAAAATATTTAAGTATTTTTTATTTTGATTTTTTCATAATTTTTTACCAAAAAAAAAGAAAAAAAATTCAATAAGTTATTTTTGAGTATTAAAGTGATGTTTAAATTTTAAATTGATTCCAAGAATAAGAATTATAAAGTTGGAACAAACCAATAGCTTGCAAAATAGCACTTTTCCCTTGAAAAAGAGAAAATAATGCTCTCAAAAACAATTTATTACATTTTAAATTCCTTTCTCTCATATACCAAAATATTTAAAATTATTGCATATATTTAGGATAAGGAAAAAAAAATTGAAACAAGTTTTAACATAATGGTCGCACTCAAGTGTTAATTGTGAGAGTTATGAAAAATAATTTTATTTTATGATAGCATATGACATTTACCATTAGCTTTTTGTATTTGTGAAAATGAAGGAAAAAAGTTTGCAGTTTCGGAAATATACGAACAAATTTTACGAATTTCGAGCCGCGATTACTTAAGAGATGTTGAAAGTGGAAAAAAATGTTCGTCCAAAAAAAATAACTTATATTTCTGAATAAATTTCAGACCTCTATAATTTACAGTCCAGAAAAAGATCGAAACCAAAAATTTGAAAAAGTAAGGGTTTCAGATAACGGTTAATTTCAGTGGCGATTTTGTTATTTCCATACTCAACTATGCTCTATACCATTGTGAAAAAAAAGCCAACTATTATTTTTCTACGTGGCAGAATTTAAAAAATGTTTGTGGTTCCGTTATAAAAAATAATCACAAAATGGAATTTTTATGACTTTAAGGGGCTATAAGATTTAGAAGAGAGAAGATTGGTTAAAAATTTTCTTCTACGGAAAGAAATTTTAAATGTCAGCTGTATTTCTTAAGGTTAGTGGAAGTTTTGTAAGCAACTCCAAGAATGGACGGACAAAGTAAAACTAACAAAGATTTTTTTTTTCAAAATTTTTTTTTTGGAAAAGTGCTGTAAATGAATATAAAAAAAATCGATTTGAAATTTTAATCGAAAATTCTTACAACTTAAGCATTTTAAAATTTTAATGAACTTGAAGTGCCTTGTATTTTATGTAAATGCATACTAAACTGTATATACTAGGTTACAAGGTAAAATTTTCAATGTAGATTCGTACATTTTTATATACATATACCAATGTATATATACACTTAATAATTTATTACATACTTTTAGGATTATAAATAAATTTTTATAAAAATAAAATTTTATATTAATATTTAGCCTTGTAATGCTTGTAAATTAAAAATTTATACAAAATTGTTAGGATTTTATTCTGTAAGGCGAAATTTTTTTATTATACATTTAAAATTTAAGGAATATAATTTTATACTTATCTCTCCCTATACATTTTGTAAAATATTTTTAAATACAATCTTCTACGTTCGAGCATTCGGGAGGATATGAATAGAATTAAATTTTTTACATTCTCCGAAATGCAAAAGCTGGTGTTCCAGCATTCTTTCATTCGGTATTCTAGTTTTTTTTAATTATTCGTTTTCGAAAGTTTCATTTTCATGCGTTTCGTATGCTTGAACATTAATATTTTTATTCTCCTGTAATTTCTTGAAAATGCTGAAACATTGGCAAATATTTTTTAATTAATGCCATAGAATTCCATGGATATGAAATTTAATGTAGCTTTATATTTAGATATACCGTGGTGCTAATAAATTCTGAACGGCAACTCATCTAAATAGTACATAAATATACGCCATTTTTGCACTGTATAACTTAAATATTGGATCCTATAGGGTAATAAAATGCCCTCTTTTAGAATCTCTTACCCGTTTTTTAATAATTCTATTAATTCCTAAGAAATCGAATATCTGTTTTGTTCCACATACATCACTTTATACTGTTATAAAGAGAAATTTTTTACTCCAAATTTTAAAGCAGTTTTTCTCAAAATGAAATTAATTGACACTTGAATATTAGTAATGAAATTTTCGTATAAAGTTTCGTGATCAATTAACCAGTTGACGTTTTTATAGAGTTTTTTTAATCAAAAGAAATATTTTTAATCACTTTTCTGAAAAATTGACTAATTCTATTTTTTGTTAAAAGGGTTCTTTTTCGTTCATTATGATTTGTCGAGTCCGTACTCATCCTCTTTAATATGAGCGAAATTTTATTTGTGTTTTGCTTTTATTTTTTTTCGTGTTTTTGTTATGTTGAAAACATTGTTTTTTTAAATGATCTAATTAAATGTTGAACAAACCTAGATTAAATATAATTAAGATTAAATTTTTTGTTTTTTTGTAAATTTCAGTTGCATATCCAAATTTTTATCCAAATTATGTTCATGCAGCTGCTGTTGCACATGTCGCAGCCGCACAAATGCAAGCACATGCAGCTACTCATGGTAATTTACATCATCATCATCATCATAATGGTCATTTAGGTCATGGTCCACCACCAAAACGAAAACGTCGACATCGTACAATTTTTACAGAAGAACAATTAGAACAATTAGAAGCAACATTTGATAAAACACATTATCCTGATGTAGTATTAAGAGAACAATTAGCACTTAAAGTTGATCTTAAAGAAGAAAGAGTTGAAGTGAGTATATTTATTTATTTTTTTAAAAATTAAATAAACCAATGTGAAACATTTAAAATTTCCAATCGAAAAAATATTGTGTGAATAATCTATCTCTCTGACAACCACCATAATCTCATTTCTAATGTTAATGACAAAACTCTTCCGCAGAAAACAAATCAGAGGAACCTCTTAAATTAGTGATATCTTGTAATTTTATTCATCTGGTAATTTAGGCACTTCCCATTATTGATGTTATTGAAAAATTTAATACATTAACAGTCATTAATGGTATTAAATCAGCAATTGTAGTCAAAGTTTTGTCTTGTTAGAGATGCTAATAATATTACTCCTTATAATGGCGAACATATATAGTATGGGCTGCGAATATCGCCCTAAATTCGACCAGTTTAACTACACAGCATTAGAATTTAGTAAATGAGGAATAGCTATAAAATTTCTGTTTTGGTTGGAGAGCCTTCAAAGAGTAAAAATGTCGTTTAAACCATCCTTTTTTACTTACATGTAAAAAACAGAGTTTAATGCAAGTATTCTCGAAATTTTCCCTGCAATGTGTTAAAAACTTTGCAATTGATAAAAATTTTCTGTTAAAAATCTTGAATTATAGATTCTAATCTATAATTAATCCTTGTCAATCTACATGTGTTTTATGTTGTGAGCAAACTAAAATCTATTATGAAAAATTTTATTATTGCACACCGCTGTTTAGTTTTCTATTGCTTCTTTGATTTTATTCAGAAATATTGTTATCATTATAAAGCCCATTAGCATATTATAAAACTATAAAGATCTTTCAATTAAAGTACCATAACAAATTCTTTGGTTGTTTTATTAATTTAATGATAAACTCCAACAGAGTTTCTTTAAATCAAAAATAAAACACAACATTACAAAAACAAATCTGTGTACATTAATTGGTTTCAATTTCAATAAAAAAAAGGAGCATTTTATTTATTTATTTTAAGGATAATTTACAAAAATTATCCGATACATAAATGATAATTAAGTGTAGTAGCAACAAAAATACATAGTTGACAAATAATTTTTGTTTTTCATTTTTTATGGAAGGGTAAATTTTATGATTTGATTTGACAAATTTTCATTCCGTTTATGATGCTATAAAACAATTGCTTGTCTATTCCAAATGCAGTAATTCAGTGTTATTACACAATTCAGCTTTTCAGTATGAATTGCTGAATTTTATTGATGCCGCGTGTTTCTGTGTTTTAGAAGGCAATGACTGAATTCTTATTTAGTTTGTAGAAAATCAAGCCAATGGTTTGTGTAGCTTCAAGAATAATTTGATTATCCCAGATAAAATATTTAAGTTGCAATGACCAAATTTAACACATTCTATTTTATTGTGACGAATGGTTGTACACTTGCAACTTATAAAATTACTTCTTTGTGACACGTTTAACACTCAACTCTTTCTGTTCTCGTTTTACATTTAAATTAAGAACATTCTATAATTTCCGAAATCTGTTACTGCAGTTAAATTGGTATCATACCTATTATACATAAATTTATACGCACATATGTTCGATTATATTTAAGTACATATACACAAACATATATAAATGCGTATTAGAAACCTTTGCAGTGCGTATGAAGGATTTTTCTCATATAAAAACACAAAACACTGCGCCTTTACATATTCAATATCATCCAGAAAATCCTTATAAATTTTTCCTTATAAATAGAAAACATTAAAATATAGCGTTCAAATACAAAAATAAAGAATTTCTTCTTATAACAAAAATAAAAACGAAAAAAAAAACCGGCATCAGTACTTTATTTACTTTTAATATTAAGGATGCGTAATGACATTTTAATCAAACCCAAATGAAATATACGAATGTAATAAATGTAATAGAAAATAATGTATGTGTTTAGGTATACGTACATTGCGTAAATAAATACGTTAGGTATAGTCGTAAACAAATTAAGAATTTGTAAGAGTGCCAATTCTTTAGCTTTACAAAACCATTAAAATATATATATATATATATAAATAGAATTGATAAATATGATAATCATTTCAATAAGGATTTAAATCAATTTTTTAATCAAATAATAGATTTTACATAATATACCTAAGCATATAATGGGTGTTTTTTAAGCATTCAGTTTTTAAAATTTAAAAAATAATAGTGGAAAATTGGATTTTCTTATACGTTTGAAGTAAAATTCACTCTATATAGAAATGCCATTTCGACTTATTTGTATGCGTTCACATACCAGAATATCAACAAATGAGCATTACACATATCCCGAAAGTGTAATCGTTGTCAGATTTGACATATTCTCATATAAATAACAAATGTCGTCTCGTATAATTTCACCGGTTAGCTCAAAGCAAGTTCGAAATCTGAAATATTTTAGCTAGTGTTTTAAACATTCTCATTCAATATGCATTAAATATTTATCAATATTTGAAAACATTTTTTAGAACGTCAGTCTCTCCACGCAAATCAAACTCAGTCAGCTTGACATTGACAAGAAATTGATTTAACAAAAAAAATCACCCGTTATTTTTCATTGCTACTGGTACATTATTATTTATATATAAATTAAGTGTAATTATGTATAAAAAATATAAAATTTACATCAAATAAAATATGTCTTATATATACAAAGGGATTTATTCAAAAGGTTTCTGGGCATCCTTTTCATCACTTTCAATTTAATATAACAACACTACTTATATACATATGTATAAATTTATAAATGTGTGGGTATCCCTACATACGTAATAAGTACTCTATTATAATATACAATAAACAAAGTATTTTTCTTTGAAAATTAATCATATAATTTAAAACTCATATAATATTAAAATAAGTATTATACAACAGCAACAAACCAACAGCAACAAAAAAAAAAAAAGAAGACTAATTGGCCTAGTGACAAATACTTAATATTTTAAAATCATTTTATTGCTTTAGGGGTACATTTTAACATATTATAAATATCTTGATACTATTTACAATTAAATATACATATTATATTTATATACATACACGCCCTTGCACATAATATTTCCAAAGTGTAATCTTTTAAGGTATTAATTCTATATGCATATCATATATATTATATAAATTAACAAATAACATAATATATGTATGTATATGCATATATGTAGATGTTTGTATAAAATATAAAATTTAATTCATTTTGAATTTTATAAGTATAAGAGAATTATTTAATTATTTTCTTAAAAAAATTAATTAAAATATCTTTTACCATATTATAATTATTATATAAGAGTAATGAATAATATTTTTATATAAAATATTATAATTTTAAGACTAAACATTATACGAAGCGTTTACATAAGGATTAAGAATATGCATATATATTTTTTGAATAAAATATTAACTAAATTTCACACTATATTAAATAATATTATTAATAAAATATATAAAATATTTATTGTTTTTATATTAAGGTGTTATACATGTTATTTTTACATATGTATGGTTATAATTATATAAGAGATATTTGATGAATAAAACTTGTGCACACGAACAAAATATAATTTTAATTATTTAAAAAAATGTTCTATAATTCGAAAAAAATCCACATTTCTTAAATGAATTGGCAAAATAGATTTAATTAACAACAAATGTTCGGAATTAGAAATAAATTAGAAAAAAAAAAAACTGATCTCTTAACAAACGTCATGAAACGTCAAATTTTCTAAAGAAAAAACTTGTCTACTCAATTATGATATTAGTAACGTCAAAATAAAATAAGAAATTTTAACGAACTCAACGAAATGTTTTTTTTTTATTTACTAACCAGTAACCACAAGAATTTTTTTATTAACGAACTGTTATATAAATATTTTAACATATTTCTCCGTTAAATTAGACGAGATAGATAAGCACTAACTAAAATGAATATATTAAGAGCATTGCCCAAACTTATCGAAAATATAAGTTTTGACATATTACAAGAAATTTTGTAATATTGATGAAAGTAGAAGCATTCACATTATTTAAAATTTTAGATCAGCTTTTTCAATATATTTGTAATTGTAAATAATTATTCTTCACTACGAATGAATTCGTTTTGATTTCTCTTAACTTTTCATATAAAATGACAATTCAAAAGTTAACGAACTTATTTTCCATATTCTTTCGCATTTATGATTGACTAGATTTATTTCTTTGTTTTTTTGTATTTATAATGCTAGTACGTTTCGATTTGTTCATTTTGATTAGACTATATAGGTATATTTCATGAATTTGAGGTGTATTAAAACCATTCAAATGCATGGAAGTAAATTTAAAATCAAAATGTAAAACTTATTTTTAGTTTAATACATGTGCATACAACTGCAAAGCAGATGGATAACATTTTCAAAAGAACGAGTTAAAGGAGCTTGACTCGAACCAGTGACCTACCACTTTCTAAGCGGTCGCTCTACCAACTGAGCTACAGAGGTATGAATAAATTGCCGACTAATTGTTCTTCACACAGCTTTATACTGTAATCCACATGATTATCAAGTATTGTTTACATTTACTTGCTACATACAATCTTCTATTTGAATTACACAATCACAAAAACATTAATATTTTTAATAAATATCTTAACTTCAAATGCATTTTACCAAGTTTATGAACAAGTTTAATGACGTTTAAGCTGTCAAAACTTTAATAATTAAGAGTTATCAAAACTTAAATATAACATTATCGCTTTTTTAAAGTTTTAAAACACTTTTACACCTTATAAATACACCTGTCTTTTTGATTTCATTATAATTTATTTGATATATAGCACATATTATATATATGTTCATATTATATATATAATTATTTTGAATTGAATAAAATATTAATGCCATTGTTTTATTTTATACAATTAACTCTTTATAAAATACACTTGCTGTACATAAAAACTTTACAATAATAACAATATAGTTTAGGATTTATTCAACTTGTATGGCTTAATTAAAGCTTAGTAAAGTAGTTAATACAATAAGATATTCC